TTACCTATCTTGACCATGCTGAAGATGCAGTTTGGTCTCCTTCTTCTGCTGCTCACTATATGAAATCTGTTGGTTTGTTATCAGAAAGCTTGCAGAAACTTTGCATTGTAAGACCTCTGTTTCTGCTAGATTGATCAGAAGCTGACTGACAAGTTCACAATTTGTTGGTACAACAGACAGATGGACAGAAAGTACAAATGTGTAAACCTAATTTCTCTAGGAAACCAGGTTTAAAACATACATACATAATTAACTTGCCAGTTCTACTTAGCTTGAATATCTATTCTCATTAGCCCAATCGTATCAAAAATGTTTGTCTAAATAAGCACTAATGTGACAGACCTGCTTGCTACACCAGAGCTGTGTAGTTGCAGTTTTCATGATACTAAACGCATGCTGATCAGATATGTTCAGAAGATATGTTAGCTGAAACCTCGTGTCACACTAGAGCAGTTTCACAGCGTGTCAGAACCCAGCATAGCTTTCTGCCGTTAAGCTGTTTGCAATGTGTATGTGGTCTTTGACAAGCAAATACAAATCAGTAGAAAAGATCGAAGTCAGTAGCAGTGGACTGCCTCTGCTTCAGCAGAAAGCCCCTGAAGTGCACATGCAGGATGCATGTGTGTTCTCACTACATTTCCTGATCTTGAGTGATAAGTGTCTTGAACTTAATTCCTGGGTACTCCACCTCACAGAACTGCATGGCCAAATTAAATCAATCCCTCCCTCCCTCTCTCCCTCCCTTCCTCTCACTCCCTCTTTCTCTCTTTCTCTCCCTCTCTCTCGTACGTTAATACTCTGGGCCTAAGGCAGATGAACTGCCACTCTGCACATTTCACTAGCTTCCCGAGCTCAACTAATTGCTCCCAGTGCTTCTGATTAGAAGAGATCAATAAAGCCTTTGCTCTCTGAACTAAAAGAAGTCTGACCTAGTGCACGCTATTTCAGCTTAGCGTGCCAGACTCGATCTTGTCATTTTGGTTGAACAACTTAAAGGAAAGAACTAGAAAAATGGAGACTTGCTGGGAGTGAATTTGTGATAGCTTTGTCAGATTCTACTGTAAAGAGAAAAAGATGATAAAGAAATGGGTCAAATGATTGAAAGCTAAGTGAGATGCAGAATCCGAGAGTCCTTGATTTGCCTGAAGTGTGGAAGGAACTGATTTAATAAGATCTAAAGATTTAAAAGAAAATGGTGGTGGGGGAAGAATCTGAATTCTCTGCAGCTTGAAGTGAAGAATAACAGCACATTTATTGAACTAGGCTTTCTTAAAATAGGATAGAGCTGTAAGACTATGAGTAGATGATTATAATCAAAGTTCAAGCAAGTGCAAAAAGACTATAGGTTTTTCTTAGCATCCAGGAATCGCTCTTTCATTCTCACACAGGAGGAGTTTCTACTAACTTCCACAGTCCAAAGTGGTAGGTTTTATTACTGCAGCTCCATTGATTTTGGACTTCCTGGGAAATAGTTCCACCAACAATCATGTTTACTATTCAGTCATGGAAATGTGACTGTTTGTAATCTTTGAGAACTGCAACTTTTAGTCCTAACAAAAGAACCCACCAAACGTCTCAAAGACATAAAAAGATATTCTTAGTCACCTAATTAGAGAGGAAGTGCTGATTGCGGCTGCTTTTTTAAAAGCAGTGCATAAATATTAAATTAAAAAAGCTGTAGTCTGATGCAAAGTTGAGCATTAAGTTTCTCATAGTAATATCAGCTTGCCTTTTTTAAAGTTATGTTAATTGAATCTGTAGTTTGCGTAAATAGACGCAGCTCTGTGGAGGCCATTATAGCTGTGCCAGTTTATATTAGCTGAATATGAGTATTTAAAGAGTTTAAAGTGCTGTAGGGAGTTGGAGTCAAATGAACAAAATGGTGACTGTCAAAGTTAGAGAGTGACTGGTGCTTTAAATGCTGTTTCGGTGTCACTTGAGTGTGCTTCTTAGGTGACCTTCGTTCCTCTGAGTGGAGTGATGCAGTCTTATGTTGCTCCCTGTTAGTACCCATTTGCTTTTGGTACTAGCAGAAATTTTCTCCTGAAGCTGTGGCCAGTGACAGATTAAATTTATTTGAAACTACTTCAAATAGTTAGAGGTATTTAATAGACAGAAAAGTTATTTAAAACGATTCAATTATCTGTATAGCTATTCTGACCCAAATATTCCTTGCTTTGCAAATGTTGGATAACTCCAGTTAAATCCTGTTACCCTGTGTTTGTTTGGAAGAGACACCCCCCTGCACCATTATCTGCCTGAACAGCTATTCCCCATTCACTATCCCTCCTTTCCTTTTTAGGTATGGCAGCTTGACTCTTTGCCCCTTTTTATGAAAGCTCTGCCCTTTGCAGAACAGCTGTGTAATTTTGCTTGCACTTGGAAGTAGTATATTTCCATTTAATAGCCTAGCTGTTATTACACCAGTGAAGTTTTTAATCATAACTGTCTTGCCTTTGTGTCTTGGTTTATTTCCTGTTTTGCTATTTCTGTCAACCACTTTCTTCTTGACAGTATTCTAAATGTAGAAAATTAAAGTAAATCTCAAATGTACTTAATCACAGGAATCAATACACATATCTTTCTCATTTTTCATGTTGGCCATAGTTCAGGGATAATGGAATTGTCTGGTACTTATGGTTGAGACTTAGGGATAAGATCTGCTCTGTTTTCAAGTGTGTGCTTGGCTGATACATGTAAGGGAGAAGATTAGAATCACCAGGAGTAAAACTTTTGCCATACGAGAATAAAATAATTATCTCCTTGATCAGTCTTCTGTTCAAAAGTAGTCAGTGCCTACAAGGGATTCTGGTGTGTAGCCTATATTTAGAGGGCAAGCTGGATTTTTCTTGTAGAAGAAATTTCGTTATATTCTGTCTTTCCAAGTTATGATTATCCCAAGTTTGGCCTGAAATACTGATGATGTGATGTCTTGTTTATTATGATAGGCAGTATTTTTTATGAGTAGACACTGATAACATGACTTTGTTTTTGTATATAGCAGATCTGACATATTTAGTGGAAAAGACTATTAATGTTCCTCAAGCATAAAATTTGAATGAATTCTGAAAAACTAATTTATTTCTGCAGAAGAGACAAGTGATACTCTTCAAAATGAAGAAATCGGTCACAAAGATGATGACCAGAATCCAGTATCTACTGATAATGTGGTATGTATACTTTTCCTGTTCTAGTACTATGACCTCCTTAATTGTTGATGTTGTTGTCCAACACTAGTGTTTTTCACTAAAAGAAAGCTTCAGTTGAGTGTGCCGAGTCCTTCCTTATCGCTTGAGTACTACGAGAAACTGGTTGTGGTGGAACTGTGCACTTTCAATAGAAACTGAATAATACAGATTTTTCTGTATTATAACAACCCGATGTTATTCTTCTGGAGTGCAGAACACTGTGCTTGGGTAGCACTCCGTAAGTACATGCTGTAATAAAACAGTAGGAATAAACGACAGGATAATAATAAAAATGGTTTTCAGTAGCTTTGAGAAAGTCAGGTATCTCTAGTGCTTCTTCTCTGTAGCTAACCTTGGATCTGTGGGATCAAACCAGGGCTGGATATATAATCTTCATTCCCATACTCTTGATAGGGCATTATTCAGATGTTTATTTTTTCACATGCATTCACTTTTGAGTCAAATACAGTTCTTGTTGTTCTTAATTGACTGCAATAAGAACAAGGAAGGAAAGACAGGGAGGAGTCATGGCAAATAATATAATATGTCCCCTTTGTTTAGCCTGTCTTCTCTCAAATTAGAAGAAAGGAGAGGAGGAAGAAGAGAGAAGACCCCAAGTGGTAGGGTAATTTTTATCTTAAAAAGCTATCTGGAGAATGAACAAATGATGGTTCCAGTTCCCAATTAGACCCTTCTAATTCAGTTGGAGGTTAAACTACCGTAGCTCAGAACATGATTCAAATATTTGTTTTATATTAATCACGCATCATCTGAAATGGGAAGGTGAACAGGAGATTTCCTTTCCTTTATATATAAAGAGAATGTTTTATTTCTTTTCTAGTATATGATCACTTTCTGGATAAACGAAAATTTCAGGGCTATATTTCTTGTGGTTAGCCTGAAAAGAATGGCTGCCCTTTTCCATTCTGTTTAACCTGATGGCCTGCTGTGACCTTAAAAGTAATAACTCTTGAGTTTCAGGCTGATGTGTTTACCATGGAGATGCAGAATGTAGCATGACAAAGGGAAAAGCTCTGCAAAGATGATGCCCAACAGGGACTTGGTTCTCCAGTTTACCTGAACCCCAACGTTACATGATTTGATATATTTGGGGGGGGGGGAATAACTTTTTCATATCATGTTCCAAGAGCACTGTAACAATTTAAAAATGTACTGTTAAAACTGGACTAAGATGATTGGACTTACATAACAGATACAATTTTTTATTTGAAATTCTAATCTGTTTATCCTCTGCTCTCTTAATAGAATATAGAATCGTAAGAAAGACGAGCTTGAGTGTTTGGCATTTACTTAGAGACTCTTCCTCAAGCTGAGTCGAAAATCAAAAATTTATGTAAATCACAGTGTTAGTCTGTGATAACAGCAGATCTTTGTGACATTAAGCCTTTGAAATGTTACCGCTTCAGCTGGTTTGTCAGACCCTGAAGCACAGGAAATGTGGTTTATACTCCTTACCTGCGACGCGTGCTCGTTAGCTTAGTGGGTACCGCTACTGAGAGAGCGTTAGCATGTCTCTGAGGATTTTTCCGTGGAGGTTTGGAGGAAATTTCTGATGGCTGGTCTGCAGGCAGACAGAGGAACATATATATGTGTTGCAGAGAAGTAACCTCCTATGAAGTAACGCCTCAGGAACTAACCATTAAGGTGTGCTTCTGTCACTGTGGGTCCTTGCCTAAGTTGTACTAAATAGTATATTAAATATTATAATAAAATTGTTTTAACTTATTATACACAGTCTCATAAATGTTTACAAAGTTAGTATAAAACCCCCTTCTCGCACTACCCTTACTTCTTTCTCAAAAATATAATGAAATGTATAGTTTAATATGTGAAATCTCTGAAATAGTGAAATTTATAGCTTAATCCTTCTGAGTTCTTGGTAAAAGTGCCAGTCTCTTGTTGCTATGTAGTTCAAATTCATTCCATCTGTTTGCAATCTAATTTAGATATGAATTAAAAAAACCCTCATAGGTGCTCTAAAGATTTATAACTTTTGTGTGTTCTCCTATCACAGTATGTTTTAACATAATTCTCTCACATATCAAGGTTTTTTGTTGGGGGAAAAAAACCAAAACACACAAGTGCTGAGTAGTTTAAAGGGAATGTTTTAAAAGTTGAGATGTGATTATAATGTATTTCCAAGTTTCAAACAGCATTTAGGTTGGCCTTTAACATTGTATTTTAGATATCTCTAGGAACCCAATAAAGCTCCTAATAACTCTTGTGAATTAAATTAAAATCTGTGTGTGGGTGTATATATGTATATACACACGCATTTGAAACTGTCTGTCATATCAATGTCCCAATGTCCTCTACTCTTCAGGGCATTTTACTTGCGCTTTGGCCAAAAATAGACCAAAGGAGAGGCTTTTATTTTATTTTATTTATTTTTTTAAGGCAAGAAGTAGGTCCCTTAGGACTTGCCAGTCATTTGCCGTAATGTTGTTGTTGGTTGGTTGGTTGGTTTTTTTTTTTTCTTTCCCTGTCTAATTCCAGAGGAATAAACTTTCTTACTCTGCTTGGCCCTCTAGGATGTCTTTAACAAAAGGCTTATGGAATAAATGCAGGCTTCTGCAGGATGTAATGAGATACGATATGCAATTTAATTGCCAAAAGCCTGGTGGCATGTAGCTTCTCCTCTGTAAACAGCCTGAGTCACCATGGCAGCAACTGTCCCAGGTCTGTGTATACACAGTTCCAGTCTGGAGTCTTCCTAGAGCTCCTAGGGCTGAGGTGCATGATTGCCATCTAATGGGGGGCTCCAGAACTCAAAATTTCTCATGAGCAGGCAAAAAAACCCTACTACCTTCTTCCTTACCTGTCAGTTTGAGATAAGGATTGTTGTTTGTTGCTGTAATCTATAAATTAGAATATTTGGAGTGAACCATCTACTTCTGTTTCAGAAAATAGAAATTATAGATGATGAAGAAAGTGATATGATAAGTAATTCTGAAGTGGATCAAATGAGTTCCCTCTTGGATTATAAGGTAAGTAATTTAGGCCATGAAATAGTGAACAAGACAGTCCTTCACAGAAAATTTGAACAGGTTTATGTGCGAGGAATTGAGCACAGGAGTGTGTGGGAGCCTGGAGCTCTTCTGCTCTCTTCAGGTAGCCGCGGTGCAGCACGTTGTCCCCTTCAGTCACATGCCAAGCAGTCTCATCCCATCTGCAGTCAGCTTATCTGTGTTTCAACACAGAGGGAGGCAGGAAATGTCTCATCTCTACAGAGCAGCTGCGTTACTCTAAGTGTAGCCATCTGCAGCTCTCACCAAGTGTCCCAAACGAAAACAATTTATTTAGTGTCTAAAATGAAACTTGCACTCAGTGCCATAATTGTTCTCTGGAGTGTTATGGAATGCTTTTAACATATGGTGGGATGCTGCCAGCTCTGGAAAGAAATAATAACAGCTAGAATCCCCTAACAAAATAGGGGGAGCTGAGAAAGTAGTAGCTCTAATGTTGTAGTGCAGAACACAAGCATTGTATCCTGCAGGACTGGATATGAGCAGTTGGATACCTGGCAGCCACTGTCTTCTGCCAAATGCTAAAAGTTATGTGTGTTATTGGTCTCAGAACTAAGTTGCCAAGTTCTGTATTGTATTTTGAGCATGTTTTTAATGTATGTAACTGACTTTCTTATTTACAAAATAGGCATATTCTACTAACAATAACCAGTTACCGAAATAATAAATAGATTATCTTTTGCAGAACAAAAACTAATCCCTCAAGCAGTGTTTTCCTGGTAAGGGCAGAATGAATATGGATAAGAGAATGACCTTTTCTTAATGTCACCTGTCACCAAACTGAAAGGCTTGTTGTGACAGCGTGCCCTACAGAACCTTGTTTGTTGTTTTGTTGTTTGACAGAAGTGATTGGTTTTTGTGGCTATGCATTTTCTGCATAAATGTGTATTCCATCTTTTACTGCACAAAATCCCTTGCTAAATAGGCAGTTTGTAAGTTTACATCTGTAATAAATCCATTAAGCCGTTATTTCATGAAAGGAGATATTTTAATTTAAAAAATATGAAGACTAGATTTTCAGCAAGCCTCAAAGTCACAGCCCAAATATTTCTCTCTTATTCTCAGAGCTGTTATAACCTGAAACAGTATGGTGATTTCTATTTTTTTTTTTTTTTCTTAAGGAACGTCAGGTTTTTCAGATTAAAAAAGTACATGTTTATAGGCTTGTTACAAATCCTCTGATTCATCATGGTGTCACCTTCTCATGGCAGCTAAATTTGAATTTCAGCCAGTCTAGCAAATGTGAATGTTGGAGCACAGTTCTATATTATAAAAATATTTTCATCATTGTTAAAATGAAATGCCAACTGGTAAAGTTTGCTTTTGAAATTTGCTTCTGCAGTTATTTGCTGCTACCCAAACCAGCCATCAAGGAATGTTTTACACTTATCACTGCCAACCTAATTAATCATATGGTTATGCAGTCAAACCCAAGTTATAGAGTGTGTTTTGGGGTTTTTGTTTTGTTTTGTTTTTTTCTTTTAATTCTCATTTCCATTCAATATGGCAAGAGGAAATAGTGATAAAATATCTGGTCTTTTCTTCTGTCAGAATACTGTAATGTATTCACCAGGACAGGAAACCTGCACAAAATCAGAACTGGCTGCAAATCAGAATCTCAAATCTAGATGCTAGATTACGGTAATGCAGTTTTACAAGTACTCATGAGAACATTCACAGGAGATTTTTTACCCTTTCATTTTTCTAGTTTTGTCTTCTATGACAGGATTTCAGGTATACATGTGAGCAACATGGGTGATTTTAGGTGAGCTCTTATGCAACAGGGTATGGAGTATGGGGGCACATAATTTACCACAGGATAAGCTAGGTCATAAACTTTAGCTTAGAGTTTACTCTGTATTGACTATTTCTAATTAAGCTGTCTTGAATTTACCGGGGATATCAGAGACAAGCAAATGGAACCCTTAGTTGTGAGGTAGCTGGGAGCCTATAAATGCTTACTTTCTCTGTGATAATGTCTTTGTGTATCCCTAACAATTTCTTTATTCGTATGTTTTTATCATCTTATGGAGGGTGTGAATTCAGTGCCGTTGTATGGATACCTTTTGCAAAAATGCATAGTGATTTTGATCTTGAAAGCAAACTCAATATTTAGCTTACATGATCTTTGAAAAGGTGAATAACCAGAGAAAACTTTGCTTTAGCAGTGCTAAATCTATCAGTCAGTCTTACATATCAGTCAGTTGATAAGTTTGAAGAAGAGGAGATATTTGGAATAAACTGAAGTAGCAGACAGACCTGAATTTTTAATCAAGAAGTTTATCTCTGTATCAACAAAATCATTTGCAAATACAGTGACGTGTATTTATAGAAAAGTTGGAAATATGCCTTTTTGTCCACAGTATACACGCTGTTCATATTTCTCTGCCAGTACAGTTAGAAATCTTATAAACAGGTTTTTTTGAAATGTTAATAAGTTTCTTCTATTGCTGAAGCCAGCGGAAGGAACAAGATTGGGTGATAACTTTGCTGCCTCTCCCTCAGCTATTTATTGGTTGTGCTTTGGTATAAAGCTATGGGGAACTGGAAACTGAAAGCGGGGGGAAAAAAAACACCAGCTCTTTCACATGATATTTAATATCAGTCATACACTGAAGACTTCTGTGTCTTATCTGAGATTTCAACCCTGGGAATGGATGGTACAATACATAGAAGTGCACTTCTGCATGTTTAGCAGTAGCGGCAGAGGGATTTGGGATTGGCTTGGCAACTGCACAGTCCTGGTAATGAGTGGGTGACCTGGTTGCAGAGTAGGTCTGCCTTGGTTTGTGAGGCAGATGGACATTTCTTTTCCTAGGGAAAAGTCTGGGATAGTAAAGATTTCCTCTCTTAATGGTAGAGTCATGAGTGAGGTCATAGACTTCCTTCTAATATGTACATAAAATTCTCAAGAAAAATATTGGTCATGTCACATACACAGTTTAAAATACTGTTCAGTAACAGCCACAAAAAAACTGATGTCCTGTGAGAGAAAACCTGAGTCCTACTGGCTTTACATCTGCCAGTATGAAGCACCTCCCTGCTGAGAGACCCAGCTGCAGCATGTTGCGGGGAGAAAGTGATGGGGGCACCTGATAACCATCCAGGTCCCTGCAGAAACACAGAAGTGGGGCAGGCAAGAGCTTGCATCCCAGATGACATAAATTACTAATTAGGATTCATACCATTTTATTATTTCCATGTAGGGATTGATTGCAAAAAAACAGAATGGTAAATATTTTATCAATACATCACTGAATGTGGGGAGTAAATCTAAAGCATCATCCTTCCAAATTTCCCATGTGATCTGATTATTTTCTATTACAAGTATATTCCTATTTTATAAATTTATTCCCATTCTTTCTGTAACCCTAGGGATCTTGGAGAGGTTGGTCAGCTGACTCTTCAATGATATACATCAAACTCAGTTGCAGTAGAGGATAGTTTATTTTAATCTGGTGGCCGTGAAGAATTCTTAAGTTCTTTTCCCTGGTCTTAGTGTTAAGCATTCTGCTGTAGTAACAGAATTTAGTTGCTATCTCTTCTAATGGTCAGTCTGCCTTTTCAAGATTACTTTTTTCTGGAAAGAGACCTAGCTTTTGTTTTTCTTTATTTTAAAATGGAATTGGAGGTCACCCTTATAGAATAAAAAGCAGTGCTTTTAATGGTCATGTAAACATTGGCCCAAGTCATTAATGCTTTAACGGTGTGCAGTAATTTTGAAATGCCTTGTCTGTGTGTAACATGATTTGCTGTTAAATATGTCTTATGCAGGGTAATGAAAAAAGAACTGGCATATGCATTTTTTTTTTTAGGCACTGCAGTTTTAGTGTGATGTTATTGGTGGTCCATCAAAAAACTCTTATCTAAAAATCTGTGTGCATTTTTCCAGAATTCTACAATTCTAGAATTTTGGGCTTTATTTAATATTGTTTTTGCCAGAAATCATAATAAATTCATTACTCCTTTTAAGTAAAAATATTTAATTTTAATATAAGTATATTTAAATGTTATTAAAATGATTCAGTGCTATTTATTATTTCCAGCACTGTATGTAATTTTCCCCCACAGAATGAAGAAGTCAGATTCATTGAAAATGAGTTGGAGAATCACAAACAGAAGTATTTTGAACTACAGACATTTACTCGGAGTTTGATACTTGCTATTAAATCAGATGATAAAGAACAGCAGCAGGTAGGTCTCGAAGTAGGCTTTAATAATGTCAAAGTATTCTATCATTTTCTTATTTCTATTCCATAGTGCCCAGGGGCTGAAATTATGAGCAGGGCAGCATTCTGCTGAACTTCTTATGGACACAAGAAAAGTTGAACTTTAAACAAAAGATCTTGCAGTCTAAACAAACAGCATATTAAAAATGTTACCTTTACAAAGGAGGAACCAATGCAGCAGTGTACACTGAAGGCATTTGACTTGTCTGTTGTAAGGCCTAAGACAGCTCTAGGAATAAAAGCCAGGTTTCTTCAGTTTTAGTACACTGCCTTTAATACGTAGCTGCCCTTTTAAAGAACTTCAAGTTGTTAGCATTTGTTTAATATTTGGTTGGATTATGTCTTGTGTGAATAATGTTTTTTGCTTTATTTGGGAAGGGGTTTTGTTGCTTTTCCCCTCGCCTTTCACCTTTACGATCTGCAGTTTGCCACATGTTAAAACTAGGAACTATAAACTGTAATAAAGAAACTTAGAGCATTTTATATTCAACCTAAATTTGGCTTAAAGTTGTTCTTTCATAAACTGTTCTTCATAAAACCACATGAACTGAATATAAAGGAGGAAACTTAGTCTTTGAGGTAAAATTTAATAAAACAACTTAAAATTTTAATCTTGTGTGCAGAATCTAGTCTTTATCTCCGGCACACTCAGTGTTCTATAAATTATACATATATAAAAGCTTTTGCATGTTAAAAAAAACTTGAGTAAAATAAATGAATATAGAACATTGTTTTGTCCAGTTTGTGGGGAAAAATGTTTTGAACCACATCCAGCATAACTTAGGGAACGCTGGAGATTGTTTTAAGATACTTCATATTGGACAGTATGTTTATCCTTTCAATATCTATCAGTACTGACCCCTTCTCTTTTTACTCATTCTATATCAGCACTGATTAAAAAGCTCAAGAACGTTCATTCACTTTACAAAGACATTTGAACGTTGACAAAAAACATATAGTTAAGTACTGTATTTTAATACTTTTTAATTATAGGCACTGCTGTCAGACTTACCTCCTGAATTAGAAGAAATGGATTTCAATCATGCATCCCCAGAGCCTGATGATACCTCATTCAGTTTGTCGTCTTTATCGGAGAAAAATGCCTCAGACAGTTTGTGATTTTTATTGACAAGGAAAAAAAAGACTGCCTAACATGTAGGTTTTGAGAACAGCTTTTTGTTATCCAGTGTTCTTCAGTCAAAAAACAAAAAAAGCCCAAGGTGAAGCAGACCTTGCTGAAGGATGACTGTCATATGTAATGGCTGCAGTTTGCAATGACAAAAATTTGGAATGTTGGTTGTGGTAAATGAAAGAACTGTGTGAGGAAAGGTTTCATTTTTAGCAGGATAACTTCTGACTTTCCAGAATAACTCTTGCTCTGTAGCGCAGTCTTTTTGAGCAGCGGTCTAAGAATGGAAAACACATGTCCTGTTATACACCTAGGTAATTTTTCTGAGTTGCTTGCTATATGAAACTCACTGGTCCTGTTTATTGTAGATTCACCCTCCTCAGTTCTCGCTCAGGTAGGTGGACTAAAAATTGGGAATCCAGATAGGAAAATGGGCTTTTTATGAATTGTCCTTGAACCCCTTTGGAAATCTGAAATTAAACTAAAGTGCTTTTCCTTATGTAACTGCAAATTGTTGAATCTTCTGTTTTCTGACCAAAATAAGTGAAAAAACTTTGAAAGGCTAACCAAATAATTTGAATTATCATCAATAAATTATTAATATACAGAGACATCATTAAGTTTTGTACCAAATTAGATTCATACTGTAAGCTCGATAGCTGCAGAGCGTGACTTTCTGATATTTTCACCATAGCAATGGGATTACATATGTTTACGCTACTATTTAGAGTTTTATGAATGTAGTTACAGTTTTTATTTGTCAAAGTCTGAATGCTAAAGTTCTGTTCAGTAAGTTTTAAGTATCAGTTAAGTATTTTTCCATAAACTTTTCTCCAGTTTTAGCAATACAGTGTCATAAAGCCACAGCTGTCATTGTATCCCGAAGTGTTTTAGGGTGTTTCAAATTGAGCTTTGAAAAATCTTCCAAATGTGACCTGTTTTGGAAGCAGCTCCATCTGACAAATTTTTTTGGCGAAAACTGTAATACAATTGTCATTTTTGAACTGTGAGCTTAATTGCAGCCAGGGGCTGAAATGAATTTATTCTTTCCCAGCTGTTGTTCACATTGAATCCCCTTACTCATCTGAATAAATAGATATGCAGGCACATTCAGATAAATTTAGTAGGGCATGTAGGTGTATGCCCATATTATTAATGCTTTATAACTTCTAATCTGAATATTCCTCAGCAAGCATTTTTGCAACAGATACTCTTGGAATCTTGTATTAAGCCTGATCTTTCCATTTTATATCAAGTAATAATTTACTCTGGTGAATTGTTATTCATGTAGTACAGTAAGTAATCCCATTAATTTCAGTGGGACTATTCTGAGTCTATTTGAACAAAAAGATCCTTTTTAAAAAAAAAAAAAAAAAAAAAAAAGGAAGTCCAGGGTGTAGCTGAGAAAGTTCAGTGTGTTAGGAGGGGGGAACCCAAAAATCAAAGAAAAAAAAAAGTACTTTAATAGTGATCTGATGTTCACTAATGACTTTATTTCACTCTTTCTGTTCTGTCCCTCCCTAATTGCTTTTGCAATTCTTTCTTTTTTATTATTTATAGTGAGCTTTTTCTTTCTTTTTTTTTCCCCCTGTGTTTCTGTGTTGTCCTTGGGCATGGGGAGCTTTTAACAACATTGTTAAATGTCGGCTGCACAAAGGATAGTAATGATTTTAAAAGCTGTATTAAAAATAATTTTTTTTCCACTGTTCCTAATTACTGCACAATTCAGTTAATTTGTAGTCTGCAAAAAGTCTTCCCACGTATTCTACAGAGTAGCCCTACAGAAAACAAACTGTTGGGGCTGTGTTATGAGGCTAGGGCATTAAAACTCAAAATAGAATCTGAAGAGATAGAAACAGCACTTTGTGTAACCAGTATGTAAGTGGTTCCTCATCTCTCAATACCTTAGCTGTAATGTCACATTCTGACTGGCAGACGCATCCTTATTCAGAGGGAGAGCAGTATTTTACATGCCTGTTGAAATGACCGCCAATCTAAAATTACTTAAGGTTTGTGAGCAAAGATCACAGTACTATCCCTCCAATGTAAGCTAGAGCTCAACTGCAACTCTGCACCGTCTCTGAAAAAATCATTGCTGAAATTTAAAAAAAAAAAAAAGTACTGTGACTTCCTACTATTCAGATCCTATTTTCCTGTTGCTTCCACTTAAATTTTTGTGACAAAAGGCAAGGTACTCTTAATAGAGAGCTCTTGATTTCATGGTCAGTTAAGTTGCTGCAATTCTCACCTTTTTACAAGAGAATTGTCATTGTTGATGATAATTCATTTTTTGTTCTGTCTTGCTTTTACTTGATATACAAACAAATTGAATGGATTCACTTTGAATGAACCACCATGAGATTTAAACAACTATATAAGAGTCCCTTTGCTCAAGGAAGCTGGAATCCTCCATATGAATTGCAGCTTGAGCATGTTTTTCTTTGGTCCTTTTCTCATGGTAGGGTTACAAGACAAAACACATAGTAAAGTAGTCATGTCTGCATACCCTGAAACATTTGATAATACTACAGAATATTCAGGAACAAAGAGTATAAATTACGCTCCTATATAACAAAATGCTGTATCAGATAATACTATACAGTTGTTCTGTGTTTTTATTCTTAATTTTAGAATATACTTCCTGTCATACGTAAAACAAAAAAAAAACTTGATTCATTACCATTGCTCGCTATTTAAAATGTTGCAGCAACAACAGTTTTCCAGTACAGAGGCTGAAAAGCAGCACACTTGCTTATAGACTGTGTATCATAACAGCAGTTAAGCATCCTGAAGTTGTGAAAATACATATCTAAATATTGCACTTCAGACTAGCACCACACATGTAGCTCATGGCTTTGTAATTTAAGGCTTTTTTGGTTTGTTTGTTTCCCAACAGACAACTAAATATGCTAATCAAGTTTGCAGTTTCCATCCAAATCCATGTAACTCGTATCGGTTTAACTGGACCTTAGGACAATATGAGAGCATTTGGTTTTGTTGCCATATTTCTTTAAAATTGTGTCACAGTAACTATACTGAGACTCACCGAATTCTAATAAGCATCACCAGGATACTAATTTCCAGATGAAATTCTGAAAGTTCTCCAGATGATGGAAGGTGACAGTGGTGGCTATCATGGTATTTGACATATTTAGGGTTTTGGTCTATGATTATTTCCTCTGTTCACAGGAGGATTTAAAAAAAAAAAGCACCCATCAAATGCTAATTCATCATTTGCATAGACTTTCCATGACAGATAAGGTTAATACTGTGCTGTGTTACCATGAAAGAAATAAGGCTCCTTGCTATTTCACTATTTTGGATCAGTAATTTAAATAACCGCTACAGCAGAAGTGCCAGGTATTGACACTTTTATCATCTTTCTGCTAAGACTCTGACTTGCTTTGTCCATGAAGGATGACTTCCCAGGCGCTGTTTATTCCTAATGCGTCTATTGGAATATGAATGATTAAGTATGTCTTTCTGAAGACACCAAAGCGGAAAAAAGTAGTTCAGAACAGACACTTTAAAACAGAAAGAGGATGCTCTCTCCCCTTTGGGAGCAATGAAACTCTTTGATGCTAGCAAGCTTGCTGATACTTAAGAAAGCTGTTTCCTGAAGCTATGCCTCTCTTCATTTTCCTGCAGATGATACTTGTGTCAAGCCTGTAGCTCTAACAGGAGTGAGTAATAGTAAATATTCTAATAGGTAAATTTTGGCAGATTTGATTTTTAAAAGTACGTGAAGAACAGATGCGCTATACAAGTGTCAGTTTTCTTGAGTACTTGGCTCTCAGAGCAGCACCGCACTTTAATCTTTCTAAGCATGTTTTTCACTAAGGCAATAAAAATTCTCAAAATGACAAGCAGATCCTGGGCTTTGCAGTCCTCTGAGCAAAAAAGGAATGTATTAGCTTATATTTTTATCTTAAATTGGGAAGCAGCTCATCAAGTCTGTTCACCAAGTGGAGACAGTGATATCTACTGTTGTGGTTTTACAGTTGGAATGAATGACAGAACAAACCAACAGTATCATGAACATCTTTGTTGTGGAAATCACTGCTTAAAATTGATCAACTATCTAATTTTGGATCTCTATTGCACTACTGTATTAATAACATTAAAAAGAAAACATTGAACAGCACTAACTTTTCTATAGGTACTTAGTTATAGCTGACTGTTGGTCTCAGGATATTGATAAAATAAGGAAACAAAATAATGTGCGTAAATGGAATGCTAAACAGAATATCTGAAACATGAATTAATAACTTGTAATGTTACAACCAAAAGTTTAATTTACTACCTCCAGTCCTACTGCCCAGATCCTTCAGGTCAGCCACTGGAGTATGAGGCTGCTTTACACGTAATAGGGACTGGCAGATCTCCAATATTCAACTTCCGTTTCAAGACTGTGCTTTTTCTGCACAAAATCTTAGTAACAATTAGTAAGTTGATCAGTTGTGGGATGCCTGATCAATGGTTTGTGAGAAAACTCTAGCTAGTTTTAGGGGAAAAAATGAAGCTGTTTTATGGTGTTTGACTTGTCTGCCCAATCCATATTTCAGCACAGTGGTCAAATGTTAAATCTTAAGTTATGAGCCAAAAAAAAAAAAAAAATAGTGATACTATAAAATTGGTTCTTTCCATGGCAGGCAGAATAGGGTTTTATTCTGACTAAAAAGTATTTTTCTCTGTAAGCCAGCAGCTGGCATTTTGCTCAGAAGACAACAAAAAGAGAAGAAACTTTGGCATGTGGTGGTGGTTGTTGTTTTTAAACAAATAAGCCATCATCTTCAAGACAGATTCTTAAGAATGTTCCTGTGAAGAAAATGGTTTCAGGTCAGTGCTTTGGCTATAGTGAGCATTATACTGTATTACTGAACTAAGTGAATAATTCTTTTCAAATTCTGTATTAAACTTTACACACACTACCTCTGAAACGTAACACCACCTTTAAAACCACACAAAAATGTGAACTTTAACATTTTTTACTGTTTTTATAGGCAATAAATTATTTCCAATACACATTCTTCAATTTTGTGCTTATTTTTTAGTTAAGATTGTGATACGTTCAGTTTTTTTTTTTATTTTATGTATTTCTCTTAAAAACACAAACTATTGATAAGGAACTAAATAAAGATATGATATTGGGGAGGAAAGAATAGCACATGTTAAGGGTGATAAATATTACTAGGCTCAAGGGTGAAGTGGTGGTAAATGGGCTAGCTGTGCTATTCTGGTACAACTATTGTAATAATGGATATCAGAAAAACTCTGGTACTAAAGGATTGTCCTAACATTTCTCAGTACAACACATTAACTTCTATGAGAGAGAGGAGTCGAATAATGAGTCTCAGCAAAGCAACAAAAAGGGACAGGATTTCACATTTTCCAAGAGTTAATGCATTTCATAAATATGTCCTCATATTTTTGTTTCAGCTTTTCCTTCACCTTTTGTTTTTTACATAATACGTGTAGAGACTTTATAGGAACAATTTTGATGCGCTTATAAGCAAGCATTAAATTAAAATGACTCAATAGCAAACTAAGGTTTAAATGAAAATGTAGACCCTATTTTGTAGTAAAGTTCATGTCTAAGAGAAAAAAAGTCCCTATAGTTTTCCCCCATCACATCTCTTGCTACGAAATGTGGAGGGTTGAAATTGGGAGGGCTGAAATTGGGAGGGTTTGTAAAATCTACAAACCTGTTCAAACAGATGCAGGGAAGGACTGAAGTTCAATCAGGCGTTTCAGTTGGGGGTTGGTGGGGGGCGGATGATTTGGGGGCAGAGGGATATTCAAAAATGTGAAAATAAACTGAAAAATTTCTTCACCTTAGACAACAACTTCCATTTTATTTTCAAATTTTGTGAAGTAAAGTTTATAATAAAGTCATGACAAATCGACTGTGGGGATAAATTGTACTCTCTAATAGAAATCATGTAACTGCTATGATTATTTCTAAGAATTACTGAGAATGTGTGAACATTCCACATGCATATTCATAATGTGCACAGATAAACTGAACTTGATCATCATATTAGCATCTTCAAAAGTATTTTCACTTAAAATCTTAATGTAATTCTTCTAAAATAATTTGCTTTTCTCTCATTTTTGTAAGTCTTACTATTTGATTATGTAGTTTTGAAATTAAATACATCAATATAAATATTGATTATAGATTAACTCTTTACAAAACTGGTAAGTTTTAGCTTGAAAATACATCAAAATGCCCATAACAAAGATATTTCTAAGTAATCTTGGCATATAAACTGCTGTGTTAATGAAGAGATAATGAGTCTTCAGCTATGATAATTTCCATTTCAGTTACTCTTAAGGGCATCAGTTTGATTAAAAAATGATTTTCTGGAAGTTTAAACATTATTGTATACATTGGATGTTTTCATTAACCTACAGAGCATAAGATAATAATCTGTCTTGAAACTAGTATGATTTATTTCTGGGCCAGTTTGGCAAGCTTTGTAACCTGAGTGTGTTACTGAATTTCTCTGTGAAAATCAATATTTATATTGCATTTTTATTATTTGTATCAGTATGTGTAGCAAGGAAACTACTATAAATCTTGAAGTACCTCCAGTATAGGCCAGGACATACCAATCTTGGCTTATTTGAAAGATGGATGCCTAGTGAAATGTTCCATACGTTTGTATTGATTTTTTTTTTTTTGTCTGTATATATAAGGGTATTTATAATCTTGCATTAACAGAGTCATCATGAGAAATGCTTATTTCCTCCTTTAGAAGCCTGTCAGCTATTTTTATATAAAATATTGGTCTTGCCTTAATTTTTTGTGAAAATTTGTGCCATAGATATTTTAACTTATCCACAGATAGTTTACAAATTTGCTTTGAGTTGCCTTTAGTTAATTATTTTTTCCCTAAAATTATTGTAAATTGTTTCCTCCTCTAATGTGTGTCAAGGTTGTTTTGTTCTCTTTTTTTTAAATTTTAAAGTTTTGGAAGATATCTTCATGTGCATGCTTTGGTGGTTCAAGATTTTTTCTCTGTAGCTTATTGTTTATAGTTTGGCAAAACCTTTCATTAAAAAAAAATGAAATAATGCTTGTACAAATGTATCTAGAATGGCCCAAATGGTCAGAGTAAAGGGCTATTTAGCACTGGTAAATTTGTCTACTAGACTTCCAGAATATTTTTCTACGTCTGTCAAGCTTGGGACTATGGAGAAATTAAATAAAGGTTAACTAACTCCTTTTCCTATATGAAGTTCTCAGTTTCTGTATTTATTATTGTATTATAAAAATTAATGTGTATAAAACTAGAGACTGTATTCTTCCATTTAGTCCTTAAGAGCGATAGAAATTTTGTATGCTTAGATCTGTGTTTTGAAGATGAAGAGGGGTGTGTTAGGAATCATTATTTTATAAGGTATACCCATTCAATCGTTTTGCAATTTTGTGATAGAAAAGGCTTCCATTTATAGATGTCAATTATGTTGGGAGCTGCTGGAGTCACAATTATTTAGAAAAAAATTTATCTTCAGATAAATTTTCTTCACCGTGCTGTGACGGTGAAGAAGAGAAGAACACGTGTCATTTCTGCTGTTCCAAGTATGCAAGAACTAAGTTAATGTCAGGGCTAGGTTTCAGAGCAGCCATGTTCTGTCTTCCCTAATTCTTCACTTTTCACTATATAACTAGTCAATACATTTATGTCAAACAAAAATAAAATAATTTGCCAATTATTTAAATAGTATTTAAAAACAGGTGATAATATTATGGTAGTAACATACAAGTCAAACGGTGGGGAACTGTTGGCAATCCGTAGCTTCCTAATGCTTGACTGTAATGAATCGTTTGCCATTCAGCTCATGTTCTTAAAAAGAAAATACACTATTTTAACCAAAGTAAGGTTCTCAGTAGCTTGTATAGTTTTGTCTTTATTAAAAAAAATATAAATCAGAAAAACAACATAAACTCTACTGTAGTTTCTGTGGCAACCTGTGAGACGATGTACTTATTTCAACAATTTTCTTGTTCAAAGTTTCTTGTTCATTTAGAATACAGTTGTAACCACTGTTCTTAGAAGTAATAAAGCTAGGCCTATCTTTGGTAGGGAAGAAAGTAAAAGCTGTAAGAGACCTACTGTTTATTGGGAAGACTTAGGAATATTTTAGATCACTTCTAGTTTATGGAGAGGCTGTTCAGGATTATATACAGAACTTGCATCCCTGTATCCTTAAGACACTTTAATTTTTTTCTCCATTTCCATAAAATGAATTTAGGTATCAGCAAAGCAATTAACATACAACAATACTAACAGCTCAGGCGAACTACTTAGGTGACGTTTATCATAAAACTACTTAAGTTATTGATAATCATGATACTGTTTCTTGGCACTTAAGAGCTTGAAAATGCTCAAGAGCTAAATATCATTACCTGTAACTTCAAATTGAATTCAGTGACTGGTTTGACCAGGCGATGGAATTCTGGCAGAAACTGTGCTACGAAGGACTGCTTGGCCCTTGAGCAAACGTAATCAGTATCTAAGCGACTCTCAAGTGCTGGTGGTGTGGAAATGTGCTGTTCAAACAAGGAGCGAGGAGAAAAGTTCTAACACTTATTTCAAGGCCAGGACTGCTGAGAGGAAAATATCTGCAAGAAATATGGTGTAAAGCATCTCTGGTTAAGGGAATCTACGCTTCCCCTCTCTGCAGAAGACTGGCGGAAGTTGTGGGATGGGTTCCTACTGGGCCTATTTGAGACAAGGACTATATTGCATTAGCAGGATGTAGCCTATTCACCATTTCATTCAAGGTGGTTTTGTTCACAGTGATGTGCCAATAGAGGGGCATCTGAAATTCTTTCGGATTCGAGGTTAGTCACACTGAACTCGAGAGATCATCATTGATCAAGTAGGAGAATTTATTAGAGCTAAGCGGTTCTACACATCTGACGGACATGGCACAACACTAAACAATTAACACCAGACAATCTACAGGTATAGCAAAGCTAAAAAACATAGTAAAGAACTAAAAATACAATACACATAGCAGAGCTCTGGTTAAGCCACGGATACACAGTACAATGACTGTTCTCACCCTTCCTTGTCCTTATGGGCCACCCCTCTAGTATAGTTTTCCCTGGATTGTTCTCACCACACTCAAGATGAACCAAGGTGATTCATGTTCTTCCCAGCAGTTGGCATCAAGGGCGTCACAGCTGATGAGTGGGTTGTTGGGTCCGCAGGCCCGCTGACGGTGAGTTCAAGTCCACACAGAAGTATGTGGCTGGCTTTCTTTTATCCTTCCTGGGCTTAGCTTATTATTCATTCGAACGTGCCAGACCACAGTTACACAACAGAACCTATGGCCTCAGCTGATAACAATATGGTCAACAGGATGGTCAACAGATAACAGTATGCATGTTCAACAGGTAACAGTATGGATGTTCAACAGCTAACTCAGTGCAAAGTTCCACAGTACCTAGGTGCTTAGAGTGTGAGACTGCTGCGTCACTTGTGTGTTGCTGCCTAGGTTCGCTCAGGGCTCATGGGTTCACTGGAGGGCAAACCCAGTGTGGTGACTCTGGCTGTGGTGCACCACGTTAAGGGGTTCCTTATGGGTAACACCCCAGAACAAACCCCTCTTCTATGGGCTGCACCATTCTGAGTCGCATGCTTCCCTGTCTGCGCTTGTAAACAGCACTGGAAACTCCAACCGGACTTGTTTTGCTGCTTCCTCTGTGCGGGCAGGGGCCGGGCTCGGCTGGGGGGGCACTGCCTTGCCGGGGCAGCGTGGCCCCCCGCG